GAGAAAAGGGAAATCAAACAAAAAAGTCAGGATACAGTAGACTAGGAAGGAGTGCTTCCCCCTACCTCCTTCCCATTCCTACTCATGTACCTCTACTTTATATGAACGGGAATACTTGCCTCAAAACCCAAGTCTCAAAAGAAGGACGTGTCCCACTAGCTGTTTTGGTTTTTGAGACAGGAGCTCACTGTGTAGCTCAAGCAGAACTTAACACTGGCAATCCTCCTGCCTCCTCTTGCCCAGTCAGGGATTCTGGGAGTACACCACCATGCCCCAGTCATTAGATGTTTTAATTCTAATTCAGCATCAGTTATCAATGCTATCTGAAAAATAAGCAAACTGGGAATAACCTGTCTGAGGAATGAGTGCTAACTTCTGACCCTGTCACGCAAAGGACAGACAGACAGAACATTTAAAGAATCAATCTAGAAGACAACTTTACTTCAGAAGGCACTCTCTAACCCAGCTCTGACCTAAGACTTTTCTGAGGGGGGAACGAGGGTTTATCCCAGTCAGTCCTCCTGTGGTAAAGTCTCATAATCCTTAAGAGCGTTGTTACATTTCTCTGTAGTTTTATTCACAGTGGTGAACATGCTATACACCAGGATTCCAACACATACTCTACAGAACTTGTCAGCTGACTTACGAGAAAGAATCTAAGCTCAGAAAAATGGCTATTCATGTTTTCAATTCTCTCCTTCTCACTTCTATTATTTATTAGCTCCAAACTCTCCACAACAAACTTCTATTATGTAAAGCAAGCTGTCATAAAATTTCAACAGTACATATGGGTAAAATGTACATCTTAAATCTCAAACATCTTCACAAGCATAGTGAAAACTTCACTTCTGACTTTCTTCCAAATAGCTGTATCACAATCAATGAACTGCTCTGATCCCAACTTCCCAGATGGCCTCCCCAAGCACTGCCATGTATCATGGTATGATTTGGGAACTACTCTTCCAAAAAAACAATGTTTATAATGTGTACCCCAGGCTGGCCTCGAACTCATAATCTTCCTGCCTCGGGCTCCTTCAGCAAATCCTACTGGTGTGTGCCACCACAACCAGCTCAAAATATTTTAAGACATCTAGATCATACAAGCCTGAAATTCCAGCACAAGGGAGGTAAAGACGGAAGAATTAGGAGTTCAGGTCTAGCCTTGGCTACAGAGCTCAAAGTCACCCTTGGCTACATGGACCTTTTCATAAAACAGAAAGATGCACCCTGGGCAGTGGTGGTGCATGCCTTTAATCCCAGTACTTGGGAGGCAGAGGCAGGTGGATCTCTCTGAGTTCGGGGTCAGCCTGGTCTACAAGAGTGAGTTACAGGACAGGCTCCAAAGCTACAGAAAAACCTGTCTCGAAAAACCATAAAAGCAGAAAGATGCAGTCTAATTAGCTCCTACAGCCTTGACGGATTCATTTTTCCTATGATCTGCCACCAATTAGTAGTAACTCTGATATGTCTGAATGAAGCTGGAAGGCTGTGCCTCAGTGACAAGTTTTATGAAATAACCCTGGGGTAGCGGTTTTGTGCCATCATGAGATAGCAGTTTACTTACAGTCTATCAAAAAGAAAGCAAACACAAGCTCTAACAAGAGTGGAGCAAAGAGCTCACTGAACAGACAGTAAATATACTAAGCACCACCATTTATAAGCCGTTGGGCAAATAAGTTAATTCTCCAGAGCCTCAGTTTACTCATCTTAGAAAATGGGAACATTTGACACAGCACTCCATTCAATAACTAGTTAAGTAACTACTGTCGAGCAGAATACTTACTGCATGTTCAAACACACACAACTGTGACCAAGATAGTCAAGAGCCCTCATGTTACTGGGACTTACAACCCACTACAATCCAATAATAGGCTAGAAAGTGTACGCAATTTCAAAATCCAAAGTACTAGCTGAAGCATATTAGCAGATTGGATGTGAGCCCAAGCACTACACTAACAAATGGATGTCTTCAAATTCGACCCGATTCTTCCTAAACGTGCAAACGAGACAGTCAACGGGTAAGAAAGTTTCAGCTACCGGAGTTGTCACTAACCAAATGTTCAACCATAACAGCGAGGAGGCGGCAGCGTCGGTGGGGGGACCGGAGGGAGCAGAGGAAGGCAGAATCTCTTATGAATGAGCAGGAGCAGAACGCCAGCTTCCAAGGAATCCCTTGCTCTTCTCAGCTGCAAACCCCTGGTCCCCAGTGCCCCCATCTTCAGTCTTTCCAACCGGTCCCCGCCCCACGAGTCCCACCTAACTCCTCACCTCAGAGCAGGTCTGCCCACCCTGCTCCTTCCCGCCCCCGCCCTATTCCTCCAGCAAGCCCATTCTGACTCGTTCCCCCAAAGAACCGGGCGCTCCTCTACCCCGCTTCCCGCCGACGACTCCCGCTCGATCCTCCCGCCGGACTCAGCCCTGTCCGGCCGCTCGGACCGAAGGCTACCCTCTCGGGGCGCGGGGCCACTACTCACCTCACAAACTTCAGCCCCTGAGACGGAGCCCGAACGTTACACCGGAACCGGAAACCTTCCGGTCGCCCTACGGCCCGCCGTCCCTACCGCCACAGCGGCCGCCACGCTGCGGTCCCCACAGCACGTGACCAGGGAAGGCGGGGCCGCGGCCGCGCAGCCGCGGTAGACTGGGGCCGGCGGCGAGGCGCAGGCGCAGCGGGGTCCTAGAGCTCAATCGGCTGACTGCCCGCGGAGCGATTCCCACATTAGCCCAGTCATTCTTGCCTGGAGCAGGAACGGGTTAGCAGCGGTGTTCCTCGCGTCAAGGGTTAGTGCGCTAAGATTACTGCTAGAACTAAAGGCGGGGAGTTCGTGCTCAAAATGGCCTTTCTTAAAAAAAAAAAAAAATGTTATAATCACTAACATTAGCCATCCCTCCTTAACTTTTTCTTCCTACTCTAACAGCGGTGCCAGAGACCATGCAAGAGAAAAGAACACACACTCAGAGCTATCCCCTGGCTTTGCATTCTCCACTGAAACACCGACAAGACCTGTCTCACTTTCTAACCTGTGGGATCACACTTAGTGTTCCCATTGCTTGCTCAGAATCTGAACCACTTTCTGGCATGTCGCTTTCCACCTGGCGTTGCTCTTTACTCAGAAATCTACAAGATTTGCACGCTAGTCTCCTTGGCATTTCTGTTCATATTGGCCCCAGGGAAACCTTTCTGACACTCTTGCTAGTTCCCTTTTTTTACTGTACGTGTAGCATCATCTATCATATTCATACAAGTTTACTTTGGCTTAGTACCTACTCTCTGACTCCGTAGTTCACTGATATATCTTAAATACTTAGCACTCGCACAATTAAGTACTTAATAAAAACTTGTCTTCCGTGGCATGTCCGCCACTACACCCCCAAAAAATGCAATACAAAAACAAATTTTGTTAAGAATGGAAATTCCTCTGGGAACGGTGGGAGGAGTGGATATCGGTCAGATAAAAAATGCAGTTAGGTAAACTACATCTGGTGTTCTACAGCATGTGCCGCCATGCCCAGCTTTAGCTTCAGTTTTATGCCTATGAATATCCAATTTTTCAATACTATTATTTGTTTTGTTTTGAGATGATCTCGAGTCACCTAGGCTGGCTCCAAACTCAAGGTGCAGTGGAGGATGACCTTGAACTCCTTATGTTCCCACCTTCATTTCTTTTCTTGCTGTTGTTTGTTTGCTTGTTTGAGACAGGGCTTTCTCTGTGTAGCCCTGACTGTCCTGGAACTCACTGTGTCGACCAGACTGGCCTCAAACTCAGATCTATTTGCCTTTGCCTCCGAAGTGCTGGAATTAAAGGTGTACACCCCACCACCTGGGCCATCTTCATTTCTTAAAAACTGAGATTACAGGCCTGAACCATCAAATCCAGCTCTCACAGTATTGTTGATCAGGCTGTCCTTTCCCCTTTGAATAGCTTAGATAGCCTTGTCAAAAATCAGATGAGGGCAGAGAGAGACAGAAAGAGTTTTTTTTTTTTTTGTTTGTTTGGTTGGTTTTTTTTCTGCGTATACACATGCACATATGTTCAAGCACACACATAAATAGATGAGGCCTGTTCTGTGAGCAGCGGTGTCTGATAATGGCCTAAGTTTCATTCCAGGATCCCAGGAGGCAGGAGAAAACGGACTCTTAAGAGTTGTCTTCACACATACACAGATTTTAAAGAAAAAATTTAAGTCAGCAAACCAGAACTTGGGATGTAGCTCAGTGGTTATTGCACTTGCCTAGCTTGGTTCAGCCCGTGGGTGTGATGCCCACACTACAATAATATCAACAGTCTGACCAGACAGAGTTTATTCTGTACTACTATTCCGTTCTACTCACCCACACCTGTTCCTTATACCAATACCCCAACTAGTATGTTTTAATACATTATTTGACCCGCCTGGTACCCTATTGAAGAAGGGATTCCTATTTCCCCCTTCTCCATTTAAGCTCTGTTTTCTCCAGACTGGCGCTGAGTTCCTGGGTGTAAGTGGTCCTTATTCTTCAATTTGAGTAGCTGGGACTAAATGTGTGTGTCATGGTGCCTGATTCCTTTTGTCGTTTCCTAACAGAGGAAACGATTCAAAAAAATTATATGGAGGAATCACAGCCAGTAACTGAGAGACTAATATTTATTTTAAACTCACCTGATTAAATACGAAAAAAAAAATCAGTTCCGCTAAAAACATTCCCCATAGAAAAATGAACCCAGATTGTTAAAAAGCACTGAAAGAAGGCAGGGCGAGTTGGCTCAGTCTTTTAATCCCAGCCCGAGTGGCAGAGGCAATCAGATCTCTGTGAGCTGAAGACCACATAGTGAGACCCTGTTTCAAAACAAACAAAACACTGCAAGAAATTTACAAATAACTGAAAAATTGGAATACATTAATCAGAACACATTTTGGCGGGAAAATCCACTTTATTCTTGAGAAATTTTCAGCACTGTTACCAAGGACTTTTTTTTTTTTTTTAAGTAAATTAACCCATCTATTTAGTTGGCTGTGCATTATTGAGTAGGCTCGGATCTCAAATGGTAGCACTTCTGCTGATCTTTCAGTTTCTTCAGTCTTCTGATGGCAGACTTCACTGCGACGGCAGTAGTGTTGAGGTCCAGGCCCCTCCAGCCAGTTTTCACGCAGGAACCACAGCGCCAGATGCCGACGGCTCGTCTCTCCATTTTGGTCTTGCCACAGAAGGAGCACGTGAACTTGGCGTGCAGGCTGATTTCAATTTTCTTCACCATTTTCCGGAGGGAGGCACCATAGCGGGGCCCATATTTCCCGACAATCCCGACCTTCTTGGTGAGTTTAGCCATGTCGCCGGAATCTCCCAAGGACTTATTTTTGTCAGATTCTTGTGAAAACTAAGATTGGAAACTAGCCAAGAACAGGTGTATTGTCTGAAAACTGCACACTGCAGGCAGCAGCCTCACACTTGGGGACTTGAGCTCGCTCTCCAGCTTTACTAGCACGCAGTGAACAACAGGCACCGACGCTGAGACCCAAGTGGGACCCCACACAGTAAGCCGCTAGTTGGGGTTGGGCCGGGTAGGAACCGGAGTAGCTGTACAGCCAACCCACGCTGATCAGCGTTCCCGAATGAAGTTACTCTATCAACAGCCTGTGTTTTGTGATGTGCTGGGACTAGGAGCTGTAGACGGGAGACTGCGTGAGCTGTGCGGTGTGATCATGCTCCCCCACCATGGCACTCAAAAGGCAGGCTTTCTTCTGTTCTGTCATGCTACCCTGGCAGGGGAAGTGTGTTTAACTTTGTATTTTTCAAATTATTGAACCTAGCTTTTTGTTTTGTTTTGTTTTTGTTTTATTTTTATTTTTTTATTATTAAATTATAAAAGTTTCCATTTCAGCCCCTCCTCCCACCACCCTCCCACTCCCCCCACTCCCTCTCCCCCTCCCTCTCCATCCCCCAGAGCAGTCAGGGTTTCCTGCCCTGTGGGAAGCCCGAGTTCCTCCCCCCTCCCTCCAGGTCCAGGGAAGGTGAGAGTCCAAACAGACTGGAGCGCCAAAATCCAGTACATGCAGAGGAAGCAAGTCCCAGTGTCATTGTCAACGGCTTTTCAAAAAGGCTCCGGGCCAGCCACATTCAGAGAATCTGGCTGGATCATGTCCTCGTTCAGTCCCAGGCCAACAGGCCTTGGTGAACTCCCCTTATATCAGTCCCCTTGTATCAGTGGGTGCTCGCATCCCTCGCAGTCCTGATTACTTTTTTTATTTTCTTCATCATTCTGTTCCTCATTTGGACTGTGGAGTGCTCAGTTCGGTGTTCCAATATGGGTCTCCATCTGTATCGCCATCCAACGTCGGATGAAGGTTTCCTGTGCCCTTGCCTTCATTGCTCACGATCTCTTTCCTTCTGCCTCTCATTTGGACCTAGGGAGCTAGGTCCAGTTGAACCTAGCTTTTAGCTGGGCACGGTGTCCCATGCCTGTACTAAGGGCTGGGATCTACCACACAGGAAACTGAAGTCGGCCTATTACTTGAGCCCAGCCTGAACAATACAGCAAGAACCGCCCTCTTTAAGTCAGTCAACAAACTTTCCTTTAAATTTTATTTATATGCATTGGTGTTTTGACTGCATGAGGGTATAGGGTCCCCTGGAACTGGACTTACAGACAGGTGTGGTGGGCTGCCATATGGGTGGTGGGAATTGAACCTGGGTCCTCTGAAAGAACAGCTCATGCTCTGATTGCTGAACCAACTCTCCGGTCCCTAATAGACTTTTATATCGCGGAGAGGGAAGGAACTCCAAAAACACCTCATGCTACTGGAAAATTCTAATTCCCTTCTTTCTAGGAAATCACTGCATTTTCTGATGAGTTTACCACCAAGAAGATAACTTGTAATTTTAGTTCATGTTGGGGTTGGTAAGATAGCCAGTTCTGGCAACCTGCATTTGATCCTCAGGACCCATCAGGTGGAAGGAGAGAACCAAGTCCTGAACATTGTCCTTTGACTTCCGACTGTGTGCTGTGCCATGAGCGCACACAAAGTAAATAAATAAATGTCATTTTAATCTTTTTTTTAAGATTTATTTATTTATTATGTATACAACATTCTGCCTCCATGTATGCCTGCGGGCCAGAAGAGGGCACCAGATCTCATTACAGATGGCTGTGAACCATCATGTGGTTGCTGGGAATTGAACTCAGGACCTCTGGAAGAGCAGTCAGTGCTCTTAACCTCTGAGCCATCTCTCCAGCCCTAAATGTCATTTTTAAAAGTTAATTTTTGGCCAGGCAGTGGTGATATATGCCTTCAATCTCAGCACTTAGAGAAGAGGCAGGCAGATTTCTAAGTTCCAGGCTAATATGTTCTACAAAGTATGTTCCAGGGGCAGCCAAGGCTGTACAGTGAGGCCCTGTCTCAATTTTTTTAAAAAAAAGTTTTTGTTTGCAAACATGGAGTTGGATGCTGGATGATTAGGTACGTAAAACCAATCTCAATTACATATTGAGATTGAGGTCAGTCTGGGCTACAAGGGATATTGAAACCCAACACCCCACTAACGTAGTTAAATTCTCATTAATTTGAATGGCTCAAAGACCTACATTTTAAAAACTATACTAAAATTAAGAGCAGAAATTTATAAAACTCTTAGAAGACAGCAGGGTTAGTCTTCATTACACTAGACTTGGCAATGAATTCTTTTTTTTATATTTATTTATTTAGTATACAATATTCTGTCCCAGGCCAGAAGAGGGCACCAGACCTCATTACAGATGGTTGTGAGCCACCATGTGGTTGCTGGGAATCGAACTTGGGACCTTTGGAAGAGCAGGCAATGCTCTTAACCTGAGTCATCTCTCCAGCCTGGCAATAAATTCTTGGCATGACATCAAACAAAGGCAACAAAGCAAACTGTACTTCATGGATATGTTAAGTTCTGTGCATTTACCTGGGCATGGTAGCAGATGCCAGTAATCCCTGTCCTTGGGAGGCTGGGACAGGAGGATGGCAAGTTCCAAGCCAGTGGAGGCCATGTCACAACAAACAAGCAAACATCAAAGAAAATGATCTACAGAATAAAAAGGCAGCCCACAGAGTGGGTGGCAACACCCGCATGCCAGGCATCTGAGAGGGCATCTGAGAGACCTTGTCAAGAGAATGAAACTCCAACTCCGAGGCCAAAAAATACTTTTAGAGGTGGCTAAGGACTTGAATGCTTCAAGGGAGGGATAAACTCATGAAAGGACTCAGCAGCATCAGCCACTAGAGAAAGGACAAACCTGTAGCATCAGCGGAGAGGATAAGGCAGGTAGACTGCAAGTCCGGAGCCAGCTTGGGTTACACTAAAACCCTAACTCAAAAATAAAGTGAAGGCTAGAAATCTGAAACAATGCCTTTCACCACAAGGGAGCAATGTTTACACACTAGCCCTGAATTCTATCCCTCAAGTCCATGCCGAGAAGGCAGTGTCCCGGAGATAGGCAGCTAGGCTTCCTGCCTCTTCTCTGCCTTCTTCCACAGAGGCTGGGGTCAACTCCCAGACCACGGAAGGTGCTCCAGTCAGGAGACAGCAGCAGAGAAGGAAAGCTTGCTGTGGGAGGTGCTGACAGGGGGACCCTCCAACTAGAGGCCCAGGGCACACAGGGCAAAGGTTCAGCTCTAGCAGGAATTAGAATTATCCACAGGCCCAGTAAGTTTGCTGGACTTGACCTTCCAGTTCAGACCTACGTGCACTGCACACTCTGCTCCTGCTGCTGCACCTCTCCTGAGCACGGCTACTCTTTCCTTACTGTGCGTTACTGCGTCATCAACCACTAGGGCACAACCCTTCCCTTTCCCCTTCAGGAAAGCTCCAGGACAGAAAAGGAGTTAGCCTTCTGAGATTTGTTCTTGGGATTCTTTCAGATAAGGACTTCCGCACTAGTTTAGTAGTTTTGTATTTTATAATTTAGTAATAATATATACACACTTCTCTACTCAAAGGGTGAAGGGTAGCTTACTAAGTAGTCTCTTCTACATTCCCAGTGAGACTTGCTTTGGGTTCATAAAAATTGGGTAGGAAATGCAGTATATTTTTTTATAGCTGGAACTTTTCCTTGCCTCCCCTAGATGCTGAAAAGGGGCTTTAAAATTCTAAAAGCATACCAATATAGCTGGGCATGGTGGCATACATCCTCAATCCCAGCACTGAGGAGGCAGAGGCAGATGGATCTGTGAGTCTGAGGTCAGCCTGGTCTACACAGTAAGAGTCTGTGTCAAAAAGTCAAAAAACAACCAAACCAAAACCACAATTTAATCAAGTGTACCACTCGGTAATATTAAGTACATTCACTTACTTATTCTGAAGAGTATTTGGCTTATGTGTATATCTATGTACTGTGGGGGTCAGAAAAGAAACTCCCCCAGACTTTGTGGACGCCCCATGGGAGCCCTATGGTGAGTGGGCTGGGGTGAGGAGAGATGGGAGGGTTAACTGTGGTTGGAATGTAAAATGAAATTTAAAAGAAAAAGAAACTCCCTTGGAACTGGAGTTAGAGTTGTGAGCCATCAGGCAGGTGTCAGGCATTGAAGCCAGGGCCTCTGAAAGAGCAACCAGTACTCTTAAAGAGCCAAGCCAGCTCTCCAGCCTCACACTCACTAAAATTTTATTTATATTCTCTGTATACAGTCTTTTACACACAAAGAAACCCTGCCTTGAAAGACCAAAAATAAATAAATAAATAAAAATAAAAGTTTCCAAGTATGTGTGCTACCTCCACAAGGCCAGAAGGTGGCGAGAGCCCCTGGAACTGGAGGGACAGAGAAGCACCCAGTAGGTGTTGGAACCAAAACAAGGTCCTCTTTGAAAAGAGCTGCAAACGCTGAACTGCTGAGTCATCTTTCCAACCCTAATATACATTTTTTAAAACAAATATTTATAAACAGAAACTGTGCCCATTACCTATAACTCCTGATTAGCCCCTCTCCTAGACTAACAACCAACATTACTGCACCTACTCCATTTTTTGATTAGTTTTTTTCCTTTCAATAAAAGAAAGGGTCCATTGTGGACTAATGAGATAGCTTCTATATGTTTGGCCTTCTTGTTCACACGTGATTGAGTTTATTGTGGAGAAAGGTAACAGATTGGGGTTGTGGAAGAACAGACAGACACAGAACTAACGTGGGCCTTAGCAGCCCAGCCATGGATCTGCCCGGTTCTTCCTCATCAAGAAGTTAATCTTTCGAGCCATTTCCATGTTGTAGATCCTCCGGCATGTTTCATAGCTCTCCCGCTGGCGGCGGCGGCAGGGCTTCTCATAGAAACGCCGCTGCTTTATGACTTCAGTAAGCCCATCGGTAGTGAGGATTCTGTACAAAGACAGCAATGAAGTTAGTTAGATCTGTGGCTCATCACTGTCCTTTGCCAGTTCACAGCCCAACAGAAGTCAACAGACAAGAACAACTTGTGTGTGAAAAATTACAGTGGGAAGTGGTAACAACATAGTCCTGACTTCTTGCCAGAGGCTCCAGTAAGCACATGCGAGATAAATTTAAAAAGTTCTTCCTCTTGGGAGCTTCTAGTCCGCCATGTTCTCGAACTTTTGACTAGCACAACCAACCTGAGCTACCTGGCAGCTTCCCACGGGAACAGTGGCCCCCTATGCACTGCTTTTTAACCACAGGAGCATTTCAGGAACTACACACAAAGCCGTGTATACAGAAGCAGAAGCAGGCAGATCTCTGTGAGCTGGAGGCCAATTAGGGCTACATAGAAAGATCTGTCTCAAAACACAAAAACCAAAACATACCACAAATGGGTAAGTCATTTGTAATTAAAAAAAAAAAAAAGTGTTTGCTTTGGCAGCACATATACTAAAATTGGAACAATACAGAGAGGATTAGCATGGCCCGGTGCAAGGATGACACGCAAATTCATGAAGCGTTCTATATCGAAACAAAACAATGAAGTGACTCCTATCGATGTTAGTGAAGGATGTGGCTCCTTCCTCTCTGTATTTAAGAACTGATATGGTGGTGGTGCATCTGTCAGCCCAGGACTTGGGAAGCTGATGCAAGAGGATTTCAAGTTTCAGATCAGTCTGGGCTACTTAGATCTTGCTTTAAAGTAAAAATCAGTAAATAAATAAAAGGCATATAGCTCAGTAGTTTAGAGCACTTGCTAAACAAGTATAAAATAAACCCAGGCAAAAATTTTTTGACACAATTGAAGTCTGAGAAATATTGGGGGTCTACCTAAATATAGGCCCTCATCGTATCAGTGATACAAATGGGAGCATTATAATATTAAATTATAATAATGGCCTCACTTGCCATTTCTCCATGTATCAGGTGCTCCAATCACACGACTTTGTGTGGATACGAGTATGAAAGTGCTTGCGGAAGCTAGGGATCAACCCAGTTCTTTCTCAGGTTCATACACCTTACTTTTGTGGAGTGTGTGTCCTAAATGTGTTTTTGAGACAGGATCTCTCATTGGCCTGGAGGGCATCTAATGATTGGGTCAGATTTACTTAGACAATGGGGGGGGGTAGATCTGGGTGAGGCTTCTTAACCAGGGGAAAGAGAAAATGGAAGCCAAGAAGATGAGATGCACAGAGGAAAGGAATCATCTCAATATCCAGGTATTTCTTTTTGCCTTAGTGCTGGAGATGAAACCAAGAGTATTGATAAGTATGGTGGCGCACACCTTTAATCCCTCACAGCGCTTGGGAGGCAGATCTCTCTGAGTTCAAGGCCAGACTGACTTATGTAGTGAGCTGAAAACTAGCCAGGACTACACAGTGAGACTTTGTCTCAAACAACCAAACAAAAAAGAAAAAAAATTTAAGAGCACAGGTTAGGCCGGGAAGATAGCTGAGCTGACATAGGACCTGAGTTCCATTCCCAGAATCCATGTAAAAAGAATGGGCATGGTGGTACCTACTTGTAATCCCCGCACTGAAGGAGGCAGGCAGTTCAGCCTATTGAGACAGACACAATTTCAAACGAGCAAGAAAAAAAGATCAACAGTGTCGGGCAGTGGTGCCAGCACTCGGGAGGCACAGGCAGGTGGATTTTTGAGTTTGAGGCCAGCCTGGTCTATAGGAGCTAGTTCCAGGACAGGCTCTAAAGCTACAGAGAAACCCTGTCTTGAAAAACAAACAAACAAACAAACAAAAAGGTGAATGTTGCTGGAGGAAGGTCTCCTGATGTCTCTTCTGGCCTCCAAATACAACCACATGAGACTCACGGGAACACACATCTACATGCACGCACGTGGTAGACGCACTTATTCAACTTTTCTAATAGGCAAGGATGTAGGCCAAGCTTTGTAGTAGAAGTCAAGAAGTATGGGGCTTGGGATGTAGCTCGGTAAAATGCCTGCCTAGTGTGAAAGGAGCCCTCGGTTTGATCCCTAGTACCACATAACCCAGTGTGGTGTTGCATACCTGAAGGGCAGGTGTTCAAAGCTACAGCCAGCCTAGGATACATGAGACCCTGTCTCAAAAAACCCTAAAACCAACCAAATAAACAAAACACAAGGAATTCAAGTAATAGCAAAAGGGCTGTTGGTGTAGTTTAGTAGTAGAGGGCTTGCCGATCTTACATGCAAGGCCCCTGGCTCTAGCTCCCAGTTCAGAGGGTGGGGATGGGGTAAGCAACTTTAAAAAGCTGAGGATGTACCTCAATGGTAGCACTCTGGGGAAGGTGTTACTAGTGCCGCTTCTGTTTGCAAAGGTAGTTCAAGGGCTAGCACACCAGGAGCTTAGTGTAAACAGATCAGCTTGGAGTTCTGGTGCCTGGCAACCTTACATGAAGGGGAAACCAGCTGCCAGTTTTAGTAAAATTCAACTGATTATGTAAAGGAGCTGTGCTGATCACAAGGGGAAGCTGGAGGTGGCAGATTCACATGTCAGTGTAGCCAGCCTACATCAACTGGCGTGTATACAGAAGGAACCCAGAAGCAGGCCCATCAGGAGGAAAAGGGGTCAACTGGGCATGCTTCCAGTGTGCTTGTCTTTCCTAGTTTGGGGGCCAGCCAATCACACAAGGCTTCCTAGCAACCCCCACTCTCCACAGCCTCATCTCAGGGCTCTGATGAGCCTGTTATATAACAGGCATTTTGCGGTAGTCTCCCAGGACAGACACGCTTTTCCTTTGTAAGGCTGGCTCCCTGTGCTCCCAACACAGCCTCTCTCCTCACTTGCGAGCTACTGTAATCAGATCACAAAATGAGTGATTTATTTTTAAACCACAACCGTCAGAAAGCTGAGGAGAAAACTGGAGTGAGACAGGCGTATAGAACAGTGACCCAAAGGGAAGACATCAGAGAAGAGCCGAGGAGAGGAAAGAAAGCGTGAAGGTAGCTGAGTCAGGAAACCGTGTACCCTCCAGGACTCCACTCGCATGTGTGAGCTCACAAGTTCTTGCCTAGAAAAGTTCACTACGAGCAAAGTATTTGCTCACTTTGCCCCCTTAGACTAAAATACAACTTATAAGACATTTCTGTAACGTTCCAAGACTTAAAAAAAAAAGGAATAGAAATGCAGCTTTCTTCCACTTTGCAAATATATTTTTATACTAAAAGTGCAGCTTTTTTTTGTTGTTTTTGAGACAGCATCCTAAATACCTCAGGCTGGCCTCTGGCGTAATCCATAGCCAAAGACAACCTTGAACTCCTCACTGCCCTGCTGGGCACTCTTGTGCTGGCTGGGATTACAAACATGTACAACCCTAACCAGTCTTTCAAACAGCTTTGGCTGGCCTAGAGCTCACTCTGTAGACCAGGCTGGTCTAGAGCTCACTCTGTAGACCAGGCTGGCCTGTAACTCCCTCTTGAGTGGTGGGATTAAAGTCCTATGTCACCTTTGCGGGGCACCAGTGCAGCTTTCTGAAGAGTAACTGTGAACTGCCAATCCATCCCTGCACTGTTTTCCAAGTCACAGTTTCAAGTTTATAAGGAAGCCTAAAGAGCTCCAACCGCAGGTTCTGAGTCCAGGGCCTGTATCTCTTCTTCACTTATGCTTCTGAACTAACTGTCTAACTGAAGTCTTCCTTCTTCCATCGACTCTCCTTCCCTCCCTCCTTCCTTGTAGTCTTATGTAGCCCAGCTTGGTCTCAAGCTTGCCGTGTAACCAAGGACAACTTGATCCTCCTGTTTTCCACTCTGAATGCCAGGGTTACAGGCACAGGCTGCCATGCGGCATTTTCTACGTTATTGCTAGCCAAATGCCTTTCTACCAAGTGAGCTATATCCCCAGATACTATCTTTCTCTTTTTAGGTAATATAAATTGTCCCCTACCAACTTATAACTTCCTTTGGTTTTTAATAATGGAAGCAAGAAAACAGTATTTTATGTCCTTTTTATTTTATGAGACAGGGTTTGTGCAGCCCCGCTTGACAGCCTCCTGCCTCAGCCTCTCCAGGACTGGAGCTGCAAGTGTAAGTCAAGTGTAAGTCACCACCCCCAGCTGCTTTGTACTTACTTAGTTTCTAAAGGAAACAGGTTTTCAGGCTGGGAAAGCGGCTTAAAATTAGCAGCATGCTTTCCTGGCATGTACGGATGGAGCCCTGGGTTCCATTCCCAGAGCCGTAGAGAAGCAGAGAGTTGAGCGGGAGGGGAGAGCACACGCCTGTAATCCCAGACTTAGGAGATGGTGGCAAGAGGATCAGGAGCTTAAGGTTATTCTTGGTTAAATGATAAATTTGAAAGCCAACCTGGGCTACATAAGACTGCCTCCAAAAAGAAAGAGAACAGAGTCCTCAGAACAAGGTCTGAAATAACACCAGGCCAGATGGTAGAAGGTACCACAGCATCTACTTTGTAAAATTATTTATTTATTGATATTTTGTGTATGCGGGCTTTGCATTTACACCTGCAGGCCAGAAGAGAGCACTATATCTCATCATAGATGATTGTGAGCCATCATGTTGTTGCTAGGAATTGGACCTCTAGAAGAGCAGCCAGTGCTCTTAACCACCGAGTCTTCTCTCCAGCCCCCACAGCATCTACTTTTAAGATTTTTATTTTATTATTTTATGCGTATGCAAGTGGTGTGTGCCCGGTACCGACAGAGGTCGAAAGATGGTGTCAGATCCCTAGGAGCCAGAGTTACAGACAGTTGTGAGCCAGTATATAGGTGCTGAGAAACCCCAAACTAGGAAGGACTGCACTTTATCCTATTTATTTAGCGTGTGTTATGCACATGCTAGAGTATTAGTGGAGATCAGAAGGTAATTTCCAAGAGTCAGTTCTCCCATTCCATTAACCACAGAGTGGGGATCAAATTCAGGTTCGGGTCATCCCAGAATGGCCTCAAATTTGCAATACAGTCAAGGACAACCTTGAACTTCTGATCCTCCTACCACCAATTCTAACTGCTGGAATTATAAGGGTGTGTTGACACACCCAGTTCATGGAGTACCAAGGAGGAAACCTGAAGCCTCAAGCATGCTAGGCAAGCATCGTGCCAGCTCAGCTACAGTTCCAAGATTATAATCCAGTTCCAGGGTATTCCACAGCTCTGGGGGCACCCGAACACACATGGCATAGATATACATACACCTAAATAAAATTTAAAGAAAATTGGTTTTTGTTTTATTTTTTGAGACACTGCCCTGGTTGTCCTGGAACATACCAGGTAAACCACGCTGGCCTTGAACTCAGATCAAGTGCTGGGATTAAGGAAAAAAAATCTCCTTCCCTAGTAATGATTAAATAAGACTGTGACCTGAGGTCAATGAAGAGATGATCACCTTCAGGCAGGGGATGATAAGAGTTTTCTCGTGTTTGCTTTATAATTTGAAAGTAGAAACGAGGAACACGTTCCATTACACAGAATGGACAGAGGCAGGAAATGCTGCTGGAAATGAGCACGAGGTGAAACGGAGCAGGACTTGGTCACGTCGCAGGGCACTGTCAGCCACACAAAACTCTCTTCAAAGCCATCTTCATGTTAAAACGAGGACAACAATGCTCACAACTTCCTGACTCTCTAGCTCCAGGGGAGACTAATGCTTCTGGCCTCCAACAGTGCCTACACTCAGGTGCACCTACCCACACACATATACATAATTAAAAATAAAATAAAAACTGTAAATAGGGCATGCCAGATGAGGGAAGCCTAAAAGAATAGAGTAGTATGGCACCATTAGGTGGCACATGCCTTTAATGCCAGCATCAGGGAAGCAGAGGCAGGTGGATCTCTATTTGAGGCTAGCCTGGTCTACAGAGTGAGTTCCAGAACAGCCAGGGCTACATGGAGAAACCCTGTCTCAAAAAAACCAAAACAACAAAACTATCTATCCATTTTTCCAGGGAGTCTTTCCTCTCCAGTTATAACATTTTTTTAAAAAATTATTTATTATATATAGTGTTCTGTCTGCATGTACATCCGCGAGTCAGAAGAGGGCACCAGATTTCATTACAGATGGTTAGGTGCCACCATGTGGTTGCTGGGAGTTGAACTCAGGACCTCTGGAAGAGGACTCAGTGCTCTTAACCCGAGTCACCTCTCCAGTCCCAGGTATGACATTTTTTAAGTGTAGGTATGTATACATTTTTGTTTATGTAACCTGTGTGGGTACCTACAGAAGGCAGAAGAGAATATCAGATCCCTGACATCAGTTGTGGGTGCTAGGAACTGAACTTGGGCCCTCTGAAAGAGCAGCAAGCACTCCCTGCCATGGGGCCATCTCCCCAGCCCCTATGTATTCTCACTTATGCTGTAACTCTCCCTTGAACCTGTGATGCCTTCTCATCTCGACTGGTTTCTCCAAAAACAAAACCAGAATTTGCCTTTTCTAGCTGATCACGTAAGTGGTATGGACAAGTCTCAGGACTTGGCAGATAAAGGCAGGAGGATCAGGAGTCAAGGTTATCCTTAGCTATACTGCCCATTCTAGGCCAGCCTGAGCTACATGAGATGAACAAAATCTCAAAGGGATTTATCTTTCCCAGTAGCCGTGTTCCACAGAAACTGCCCAGCTAGTTTTCACGCTCTCCACCGCTTCTTCTTGTTCTTCAGAGACGGGGCCAAGTCCGAGTCTGGTCGATGTAGCCAGAACTCTTCCTGCCTTCATCTCCCAGGGGCGAAGATTACAGATGTGCACAAGCAGGCATAGACATAGGGGCTCTTTCCAAAACCTCGGAGAGAATTCGGGTTCACCAAGGAGTGATGACTGTGTGCTGGAAAAGCTCCACCAAGTTTGATTTGGGGAAGATCTTCATTTTTACAACAAGAAATTGCAGAGCTAACAAGCATCCAAAGCCTAAACACTGGGCTGGGACCAGCCTGGGAACAGTTTATGAGAAGTTAAACCGGGTAAAGGATAATCCTACATTTCCACAAGCAAAACTCTGATTCTTTTTACCTGTTCAGGGTCCTGTATGCACCTTCCACGTTCCCATCCTGAACCATCACAGTCCTAGCAATGAACTTCAGGTGTTTAGCCATGGCCTTGCCTTCAAATCTTCATTCTTCAGGACCTACAGGCTGGACAAGGAGCATGGAAAACAGGAAAATCAGTAAGAAAATGAAGCCCAACAGAGTCACACACTGCCATAGGCAGTTTTACTCACTCTAGAGATAGAACCTTCTCAGGAACCCATGGAAACAGGTAGGAGGAACTTTCCACATCTTAGAAATCTGGTGTCCTCTTGACGCATAGGCGTACATGCAGACAGAACACTGTATACGTAATAAATAAATAAATCTTTAAAAAAAAAACAAACTATAAGTAGGTCTGGAGAGATGGCTCAGTGGTTAAGAAGACCCAGGTCTAATTCCTAGCACCCACATGGTAGCTCACAACTATCTGTAACTCCAGGCCAGAGGATCCAATGTCCTCTTCTGGCTTCTGTGGAGCACACACATACATTCGAGCAAAACACGCATACAAAAAAAATATTAAAAAAAAAAACTTTTTAAAAAGAAAAAGTACAAGCGAATTGTATCAGAATCCGGCTTCTCACTGCTCAGCGATATGGCTCAGCAAGTAAAGGCACTTGCAGCCAAGCTCGACGACCCGAGTTCGAACCCTGGACCTATATGGTGGAGGGAGACGACCAGCTTCTGCAAGTTGTTCTGACTTTCTCACACACACACACACACCCGCCACACAAATAAATAAGTAAACAAATAAAGGTAATTTTAAAAGCCAGGGGGGTGAGGGTGGAGGTGCACACCTTAATTCCCAGCCTTTGGGAGGCAGAGGCAGGCGGATCTCCGTGAGTTCGAGGACAGCCTGGTCTACATAGCAAGTGCCAGGACTACATGAAGGCTGTCTCAAAATTCAAAAAAGAAAAAAAAAAGTAACTTAAAAAACGAGGTTTTCGCTGCACGTTGGAAAGTAGTCTTGGTCCGTCTCTAGTGACCAGGCCGCCGTACCCGCTTTACTCTCAGTCCCCGGCGCGAGCTCCTTACCTGCGGCTGCAGCACTCGGACTCCAGGACGCTCCGGAGCGGAAGCGGAAGCTACGGAATCCCCGCGGCGGGAGGAAGCGGCGCCGAAGAACGCAGTCGGTTGCGGAAACCGTGCTTACGATCTGTCCTTGGAAAGGTTTGCTTCTGGGCGCAGGCGCAGGACTGTACGTCTGGCAAAGTCAAAGAAACAGCGTCCTCCCTCTCCTGTGGAGCCGCGGTCCTCGGGTCTGCGAGAAGGTCAGCCCAATCCGTAGCTCTAATCCCGCTAAACCTTTTCTAGATCTGAGCGGTTTCGTTTCCTGGATGGGAAATGGGATGCGTCCTCAGAATGTTTTCTATTTTAAAAGGACAGATCTGCTCACCCGGTGAAGAACAGATTCACACCCTTCGTCTGCCTAAAAATTAAGAAAAAGAAATTACATACTGTGAACTTACCGTTTCATCATCTACGTAAGCCACTTCACTAAATCAAGTGGAATCACGAAAGAAAGAAATGGGAAACGCCTGGAGGATTTAAAATCAAACTGTTTTGTTTTAATGCCAACGTTGTCATTCGTTGTCTAGTAAGACCTGGTAGAAATATCTCATTTCTTTCACACTGTCTTGACAATCTTGTGTGTATGCTGTCCCCACATATCCATGCACGCTTATTTACGTGAGTTCATAAGTAATGAGCGCAGAAAAACTTCCCCACAACACACACAGATGCATCCTCATCAGTTATTTGTTTAAAAGATTAGCTTTTATTTTATGTGTATGTGCACCATGTGCCTTAGGAACCTGAAAGATAGGAACGGTGCTGGATCTCTGGAGCTGGAGTTGTGTGAGTTGCCATGTGGATGCTGGGAACTGAATTCTGGTCTGCTGCAAGAGAAATAAATGCTCTTAACCCCTGGGTCATCTATCCAGAGCATCGTCAATTAGCAGGTACTCGCACAAATCTTCAGCCCAGTCCAGAGTACCAAAGTGAAGCTAGACTCTGGGACGCTCTTAAGCTGGTCCACAAACTTCTATTGAAATATCTAGCCTCTGCCAGGCACTGTTGCTGCTATTCCAGTGTCTCTTGCACCACTGAAAGACAGTAAGTAGACACAGATTTAGACCGGGTAGCATATAACAAGGGCAAAATTAATTATATGGACAGCTACATAATACTGTGGACCGAGTTTTAGTTTCTGCTCAGTTTCTGAGAGCCGTCAGGTGTATGACTTTGAACAAGTTACTCAACGAGGCATCTGCACTTCTTTTGTATTAATAAAAATATTGGACTATTATGACGTTTATTTGCTGATTGTGTGTGACCAGTTTGGGCTACAGTGGTAGGGCTGGAGAGACAACCTGGGGATATGTGACCTACAAATACTGACAATCTGGATCTGTGAGACATTCTCTCAGTCTGCTTCCTTATTTGTAAAGCGACTCACAAAACTTGTCATGTGAATCAAATGGGATAAGATACAAAGGTACTTTGTGATTATTTGTTTTAAGGTTTATTTTATTATTACATGTGTGTCTGTGTACTGCGTATGTGTCTGGTGCTCATGGAGGTCAGAGCAGGGCATCGCATCCCTTGGGTCTGGAGTTACCATGTATGTGCAGGGAATTGAACCTGGGTTTTCAACAAGAGCAGCAAGTGTTCTTAACTGCTGAGCCAACTTTCCCATCCCTTTGTTAATTTTTTCTTTTTTACTGGATTAAAAAAAATTAATGTGTATGAATGTGTTTGTCTGCATCCATGCCTGGTGTCTAGGGAGGCCAGTAGAAGGCATCAGATTCCCTGGACCTGGATTTACGATATTGTGAGCCACCGTATGGATGCTGGGAATCTAACCTGGGTTCTCGGGAAGCACCATCGGTACTGTTAACCTCTGCGCCTTCTGCCCAACCTCAGAGCTCCCAAGTTTTAAGCCTAGTTATCTAGAAAAATGTTGATAAAATTAATCCTGTGTACTCGGGCTCAAACACAGGCTTGTGTATATGAGTCACAGCACATGGAGATCAGAGAATTCGCCAAAGTTGTTCTCTCCTTCCAACAGGTACGTCCTATGGCTTGAACTCAGGTCATCAGGCTCGGTGGTGACAGAGGCCTTTACTCACTGAGCTGTCCGAGCTGGCCTTTTATTTGTGTGTGTGTGTGTGTGTATGTGCATGCCCATGTGTGAATGTTTGTGAAGACATATGTACAGGCACATGTTCCTGTGCGTGTGATTCCAGAGGAGGTCCTTAGATTCCTCAGAACTGTAGAGGTATTTGTGAGATGCCTATGCCTGGTTTATCAGCTGGTTTCTGGGATCCCAACTCTAGTCCTCATGATTAGATACAACTGCTCCTGGCAGCCTAGCCATCTCTCCAGGGCTCCACACTTGTTTTTAAAACAGTCCAAGCTGGTCTGGAAGAAGATGTGGATCTGAAGATGATCTTCAACTTTTGATCCTCCCAAGAGCTGAGTTCACACGCCACCATACCCAGTTTTATGGGGTGCTAGGGAGTGTACCCATGGCTCTGTGCATACTTAGCAAGCACTTTATAGAGCTACTCCCCGGCCATAAAGTGCTAAAATTTTAATCAAGTCTTTTGTTTGTTTTTTCAAGACAGGGTTTCTCTGTGTAGCCCTGGCTGTCCTGAAACTCATTATGTAGACCAGGCTGGCCTCAGATTCAGAGATCTGCTGCCTGTGCCTCTACCTCCTGAGTGCTGGGAGACCTGTGCCACTGCCGTTGCCACCACCCAGCTACAAATTTTTAGTTAATTAAAAAATTTTAGATTTACTTTATGAGTATGTTCTTCGTAGGCATGCCTGGTGCCAAAGGAGATCAAAAGAGAGCATCAGATGCCCTGCGACTGGAATTACAAAGGGTTGTGAGCCACCATGTGGGTGCTGGAAACTAAACACTGGTCTTCTACAAGAGTGCTCTTAATTGCTGAGCCATCGCTCTAGCCCTCAATAGTTAAAAAAGAACAACAAAAATATCCCTGTAGTGTGTATGTGTGCGCCTACATGGACACGTGCATATCCCTGTAGTGTGTATGTATGCG